CTGAGATAGAAATTAATATTTGTAAATTCATTCAAATAATCGAAAGTGGAAAATAGAAAAATCTGAAATAGAAATTAATATTGAAATATAAAATATGTAAATTTATTGAAATAATTGAAAGTGAAAAAATAATAGAACAATTTTAACCAGAAATTAAACATTTTAAACATAAATATTAAATTGATGTATTAAAGTATAAAGTTGAAATTGAATGTTTGAAAAATATATTAATTTAAAAATATTAAAATTATAAATACTGAATTTTAAAATTAATAAATTGAAACTACTGAAACTGAATTAACTTGTTTCATTTTATTCACTTAATGCGTGCAAACACTTAACTGGCGACGAGGATGAAAGCAAAAATTTAAGAAAATTTTTGCAATAAATAAATAAAATAATAAAAACTAATAACTGTTAACTCGTAAGCAAAACTGGCGACGAGTATAAAACGCAAAAATTTAGAAATATTTTGCTTGAAATAATAACAGAAAAATTAAAGATAATTTTTCTTAAAAAAAACAGAGAAAGGCATCAACCAGTTTAGAACATATCTTTATGGTAGAAAATTCATCGTGGTAACAGACCACAGACCACTAGTTTCATTATTTACACATGAAAATCCGTCATCCAAAATGACAAGAATCAGAGTAGATTTATCTGATTATGATTTTGAAATTATTTACAAACAAGGCAAAATAAATACAAACGCAGATGCACTGTCACGCATCAAAATAGATAGCGATACACTGAGAGCAATGATACCTACTACAGAAAATGACGTAGGAAATATAAAAATTAACATATTAACAAGGAGCAAGGCCGCAAAATTAAATAAGAATGAAGAAATTAAGCATGCATGTAAAAATAATGAAAATAAAGAAGCGCAAATATATAAGAAAAATGAATACAATGAATTATCCGCGGAACGCATTAGAGATACATCTCCAAAGAAGTCTGATCAACTTCACATATGGAAATGCACATCCTTCAATGACGTTAAAAATTTAAAGAAATTAAAATTTAAAATTGATAAAGAAAGTAGTACTACAATTGAAATAATTAATAATGAAGTGCAAGTTACATGTAGCGATGACCCTTTGAAACTAGATTCAATGTTGGAGAAACTACATAGTACTATGCACAATTCACAGATAAAGGAGCTAGCCCTTTGTGAACAAGAATATATATTTAAAAATATTAATATGAATGCATTCAAGAATAAATATAATGAGCTCAAAGAAAATGAAAGCGCGCCAATAAAAATTTTAATACATAAAGCTCCAAAAGAAATAAATAGTGCGATACTTAAATACAAATTAATAGATGAATTCCATACTTCCAACATATCAGGTCATTTAGGTGTTAGGAAAACAATTTTAAAATTAAAACAAAGATATATATGGAAAAATATGCGGCAAATGGTTAAAGAATTTATCAACAATTGCACAAAATGCGCACAGAATAAAACAATAAAACATATTAAAGAACCGCTTATAGTGACAGATACACCAACTTCAACATTCAGTACAGTCTCAATCGACACAGTAGGCCCACTTCGTATCTCAAACGGCTACAGATACATATTAACGATGCAATGCGATTTATCAAAATTCGTTATAGCACATCCAATCGAAACTAAAGATGCAAAAACCATTGCAACTACGCTAGTTGAACAACTCATTCTTAAATATGGTTTCATACAAACATTAAGATCTGACAGAGGGACAGAATTTATTAATGAACTAATGCACAATGTATGCACATTACTAAATACAAAGCAAATATTTTCAACTCCGTATCATCATCAAACAATTGGGTCACTAGAACGAAACCACAGAAAACTAAACGAATATTTACTTACTTTTGCTGACGATTACGAATGGCACAAATGGATACCATATTACACATTCGCATACAACACAACACCTCACATAGACACTGGTTATTCACCTTATGAGCTGGTATATGGTAAATTACCATCGCTACCAAGCGACAATATAAACAAAGTAAACAAATGCTATGACACTGAAAATTATGCAAACGAATTGCATATTCGCCTAAAAAATTCAATTTCAAAGGCCAAAAAATTAATAAATACAGTAAAAATAAAAAGAAAACAAGAATATGATAAAAATATAAACAAATCTAATTTTGAAATTGGAGATATGGTGTATGTAAAAAATGAAAATAAACTAAAACACCAGAGTCCATATCACGGACCATACAAAATTATAAACACAAATGGAATAAATTCCATTATTAAGATAAGAAACAATTGTAAAGAATTTCATAATAACCAATTAAAAAAATACTTAGGAATATGTCTATAATGTAAACAAAAATATATTTTAAATTAATCATATGTAAAAAATTATTATTTTAGATATTAAATAACATTTCAATACAACATACATAAATAAGTATAACTATGTTACGAATAAGATACATTAGACAAACCAAAATATAAAATATACTAAACTATATATATATATATAAGATAAAAATATAAGTAAAGAAAACATGTAAAGCGATTCCACGACTTCACCATAAACAAAAAAAATTATTCCGTTCATTTTTCACGTAATAAGTTTTTCTCAAGGGCAAGGGTGTAGTGGACCTACCTCACTTACTTCTTAGCCACTTAACATTACTCATAAATAATAATAATAAGCAGATTTATGAATTGGTTGCACTTCATGCATACCGTACAAGAAGCATAAGCAAAGCGACGTAAACAAAAGAGTTTCGTATTACCAACGAAAGTATTGCCACACGCTGTTCCAATTGCTGAACACATGTTACAATATTTTCAATAGTAATATTTCCTATATTGCAAAAGACATGTGCAAGCAATATTGTCAATGCACTCTAATAATAACTTTGACGTTTGACCTAAATGAGCAAACAGTGTAGTCGCTATGCAATGCATTCTGCAAGGTCAGCAATCACTTTGATTGGCTGCGGTTATACTTTTCCAGGTTTTGTCTGGAATAAAGAGGCGGAGTCATGAGATCGCTATAATCTAGAAAAATGTATAAATACCCAAACTATTGTTCAATAAAAGAAGAATATACTTATGACTGCAGAAATATATGCGTTGTTGAATTTATTCTCACTCCTTCTGGCCAAGTAACACTGGCCTAGGTACCAGCGGTAACAAGCCGCTTGATAACTTGTTCTTGATTGCATCAGTAGGTTTTTGATGCATGCTCGTATCAGGCAGGGATAATTACACGCACTTACAAGACAAGTATTACGTCTCATTTTACCTGACAATCCTGTCTACATCTGAACGGGTTAACACATTACATGGTGATCCAGCCATTACATTGATTGAATATTGCCCATACATCCATTTATACATTACATGGCGATCCTGCCATTCATTACACTAGTTCCATTACAAAGAAGTTACATTACATGGTGATCCAGCCATTACAATGTAAATAAATTATATTTGTAAAATATTATGTACGTCTAATTTGGATTAACCAATTAGACGTAAGTAAATTTAAATATCAACCAATAGAATCGATACATAAGATTCTATTGGAAATTAGTTGTAAGAAATTATGTTAGAGATAAGAATAAAAATTTAATAAAGTTAGTTTCTTAAGAATACTCTACACGACATGTCTTTCATTTTTATAAAGTCAAACAATTACATTATAAAGTAAAACTATTACATTTTTATAAAGTGAAACAATTACATTATAAGATAAACAATTACAATAACAAGCGGCTGGAGAGCTTAGATAATACTCTAAACTATCTGATAACATTACATGGCAATCCTGCCATATACTTATAACATAAATATTACATGACGATCCTGCATGTAATATAATAAATATATTATAATAGAAGTAAAAATAATAAAAAAAACAAATAGATTCCTGCATCTGACGAAACTGAAAATTTTCTGATTCCTGCACCTGACGGACCAGATGAATTTCTAAAGTGACCAAATATCTAAAGTTTAATAATATGCTCCCAGTTCTTGACCAACCAGACGAAACACCCGAACTACCAGTATCCAGTTTTCTACCACTAGGAAATTTGGAGCGTGGACATCTAAAAGGTTTTGAAGAACTTCATGAAACAGTCAATTACGTAGAATACTTCAAGGAGCAACAAGAAAGATTGATAATAGCCGAACAACTCGTGAAATTACAAAACATAAAAAGAAATATCAGAATCGTGTACGAATCTTGTTTATAAATGTCTCAAGAACAATTCGATGAACTATTCAACAGAGCAGTCCTAACACTGCAAGAGGCAATACAAGCAAATCCGAGTGCTGGCCCTCGTCCAATAACTTTAGAAGAATATAAAAGGCGTCATCCAGTAGGAAGAACCAAGGAGATAATATTAGAAGCACCCAAAAAGAAAAACAAAAGAGGTGGCAAGAAGCGAAAAGCTTCAAAGGAAATAGGTAATCTAAAACGAGTAATAAGAATTGCTGAAGGGAATGCTAAAGAAGATCTGATAGCGCAACTTAAAAATAGAAAGAAACAATGGGTGGAACCCAATCAAAAGAGGAAATTGTGAACAACAAAGTAGCAGCAACAGCATTAACAAATAATGATACTAATAATTATATATTATATTTAAATTTTATATTTTTATGTATACTAATAATAATAAAAATTAATTCCCATTTCAAAAAATACATAAAAAAACAAGCAGCTAGAAATGCCAATGTTTAAGTATTAAAATTAAATAAAAAATTATAAAAAAAAAAAGAATATTTTTTCTCAATCTTTGTTAAATAATATAAAAAAAAAATAATAATAATGTATTATAGATCAGTAGCTCGTTTATGTAAATCGTTCGAGCTACACCATCGTTATGGTGTGATGAGAGAAACTGATGAAAATCGAACGTTTTTTGAAAAAATGGAACGAAAATGAATCAATTTTAAAAGGTTGTTTAGTGTTTGCGGTAAGATATTCAAAATTATTTGAAAATCATGAATAAATAAATGTTGCCTCTTTTTCAGAATTAAAAATGGATTATCTTACTGTTTTAACTGCAGTGGTACATGACCGCAGAAATATGCTTCGCATTCATCGAAGGCATTTACGTGATTCAACTGACCCATTTCATTTGCCAGAAGCGCGTTTTGTCGAGCTATTTCGCTTTAATAAGGAAGTGACTCTACGCCTTTTAGAAGAAATATGTCCATTTATGAGGATTGGGGTTAAAAACACCTACATACCGAAGCATATAAGGCTAACTGCTGCGCTGCATTTTTATGCAACAGGGTCGTTTTTGCGCGACATAGGACAGGACTTTGTATGCCCAATGAGCAAGTCAACATTATGCTTGGTTATAAAAGAAGTGACTTTTATTATTCAGGATAAATTAATGCAGAAGTACATAAGATTTCCCACTTCTGCAGATGAACAAAATACTGTTAAACAAAGGTAACAAATTTGTTTTATTGATGCATTTTAATAATTGATTGTGTCTCACAGATTTTTCAATGCGACAGGCTTTCCAGCGGTAATAGGTGCTGTTGATTGCACGCACATTAAAATAAAAAAACCGCATATAGGAGTGGAGCATTGCTACAGAAATAGAAAAGGTTATCAGGAAAATATTTGTAAATCATTGTAAAGCATTGTAAAACATTTTTGTATAAATAGATTGGAAAATTGTAATAAAATTCAGATTTTAAACTGAGCTCTAGCAGCTTACATTAAATCTCGCTTTTAAAATTATTTTTGTCTCGGCATTCTTGGATGCCTAATAATGTGCAGATTTCTTCCTGCTAATTAAAAAGAAGAAAAATTATAAACTTGAAATAAATCTGATAAATATTTAATATATATAAAAATAATTAAATTTGTATATGAAAACAAATTTTAATTATTACATGGCGATCCTGACCACTCGAATCTAATCGAAGTCAAAGCCTAAAATACCAAAGGGAAGATTAGGAGTTAAATTCTCAACATTTAATTTTGCAATTTAAATTTTCTTAAATAAATCAATTTTGTATGTCTCTACGTAAAGAATCCAGAAATATCTCCCAAATCTGGGAAACATTCCTAAATATATTCGATGACATTGAGGAATACATCCCTCAAAGGATAGACGGTTTACCTGTTGAGGCTCCGAAGTATGTTCCAGTAGACAAAGCAGCCGGACCTAAACCATTGACAATCAAACAGTATAAAGCGAGGCAGCAGAAGCCACGAGTAACTCCAGTACCGAAGACACCAATAAAACCAAAAAGAAAAAGGGGCGGAAAGCAGTACAATAAAAGAAAACAAATAGCAGTCCTTTATAGAGAATTGAATCTTGCCACATCTTCAGAAGACCAACTGTCAATAAAAAGAAAAATAAGAGAGACAAGGAATGGGCAGTCAACCCACCAAGGAAGAGGTGATAAACAACACCAACAACAACAACAATAACAACAGTAATAACAGCATCAACGAGTTAGCTGATTCTAAAACAATTTTGTATTTTATATGTATTTTATTGTTGTATTTAGTATTATCCAAAGTAAACAATCATTATAAAAAATATGTCAAAAGACATGTTATTTTAAGCAATAACATGGTTTAAATTTGCTTAATAAAAAAAAAAAAAATATATATATGTTTTTAAAAAAAAAATTTTTTTTTATAAATATGAATAACTTTAATTGTTTTGTTTGTGGTAAAAGTTACCAAACAAGTAGAAAATTAAGCAGACATTTAGATAGAAAACACATTAAATTAATTAATTATGTAAATCGATTAATTAAAAATCTTCAAGAATAAGTAATTTTATTTAATGTACACTAAAGCTAATATATGAATTTCAACCATAATAATTATAAGTCTAATTATATTGTATTTAATAATAAGACTAGAAGGTCATAAAAATAAGAGAATGTACTTCAAAAATTTTTACTTTATGAACTATAAATAAATATATATATGGAATTCACTGAAGCTAAACAAATATTAGAAAAGCTTAAGAAAAACCCCAATAGGTTATATTCTAGGGAATTTATAGAAAAAACAAAGGAAGAATTAGAAAATATCTGGTTAAAATATTTACCTCTAATAAAAGAGTCTGACTTAGAAGCGTACAAACAAGCATTCAACAACTTAAAAAATAATATTGAAAAATATCTCAAACAAAAAGCAGACATGGCTAGTTTTGATATTTCGACAGCTTCAAAAATAATACCCCAATTCAGTGGTGAACAACAATCACTATCTACTTTTCTTGGCATGATAGAATTTTATCATGACACCCTTAAAGAAGGAGTCGATAGAGAATCCTTGATTAAATTTGTCTTAGCAACCCGAATAACTGAGAAAGTTAAAAACAGAATTTTAACTGTTGTAAACCCATCTACACTTATAGCGTTGAAACAAATATTACATGACGCATATAAACCAAAGAAAAATACAGCACATATTCAAGGTGAACTTTCAAGATTATACCAAGGTAATATGAGCATAAACTCATATGCTTCCAAAATAGAATCCCTGATAGCAACTCTAAATGATATACAGATAACTGAACGAGGAGAACAGAGCAGAGCGCTTATATTATCCATAAATGATGAAACTGGATTGAACACTTTTAAAAATGGCTTATCAGAACCATTTAGATTCGTGGTAATTGCAGCTCAACCAACAAAATTAATTGACGCAGTTAAATTAGCATCAAGCATCGATAATCCACAACAACACAGTATGATGCACTACCGTTCACATAATCAAAACACAAGATGGCAAAATAATCAACGGTCTAACCAGAATAGAAACAATTATAGAAGCAACCAGAACAGGAATCAAAGAAATGGAAATAATCAACAAACCAGTTCATTTAGAACTAGTCAACCCCAAAATAACAATCACCAACAATTTGGACAACAACGATCGAATAATTACCAGCGATCGAATAATTACCAACGATTTAATAACCACCAATGGTCAAATAATGGCAGACAATAGAATAATAGAGGAACAGACACAAGAAATAATAGGATACGTGTCATGAACAGGGAACAGGGAAACGGGTACAACCCCGGTACCAACAGAGAAACTATAGAATAGGCTACGCGGGGATAAAAAATGATAATGGAGAATCAATACCCAATTATATTATACTACAGACTTTAAATAAAAAATTAAAATTCTTGTTAGATACTGGCGCAGATGTGTCAATATGTAAAAAATATTGTACAAATGACGAAGACATTGCAGGGGAACAATTATGTAAACTCACGGTAATAACTGACAGTCCAATCACAACATTAGGTACTACAAATTTAAATTTCAAAATATTGAACGATTACTTAAAGCATAAATTTCAAGTAGTAGATGACGAATTTCCAATTCCTACTGATGGTATTTTAGGACGTAAGTTTTTCAATAAATGTTTTTCAAAAATTGATTACGAAACTTATACTTTTTCAATAAACACGAATAAAACCGAATACATTTTACCGATATTAAACAAAATCTTTAGAATCACAATACCACCTAGATCAGAGATAATTCATTCGATTAAAATAGAAATTCCAGAAGATAGTATTATTTGTAATAAAGAAATAATAAAAGATGTATTTATCGCAAATACAATAATTCCACAACATGGAATAAAACATATAAGAATCTTAAATATCTCTAATAAAGAAAAAAGTATTGAAAAATTTTCAAAATCGGATTTAGAAATAATACCTTTAAGACATTTCAATATAATCTCAAACAATAGACTCAAACATTCCAATGAACGTTGGAATAAACTCAAAAACTTACTTAAATTTGTAACGACACTTTTGGTGACGTTCAAAAATTTTTAGTTTTTGCTGGGGTATCCTCAGCCGTCGTCCAGAGTCGTGACAATATATTTATAATTTTGCCGAGACGTTGGTTTTAGAAGAAAACAGAACGTGATTTATATGTATAAATTATATATATAACTTTATTATTTCATAAACTTATGATTAACAAAGTTTAATTAAAATTCATTGGAAACATTTCTAATAATAAATAAAAAAAAATTATGTTGATGCCAAAATTTCCCACTTCTCCATATACTACTTGTTAAAAGAATCTTAGCAAAACCCGTGTGACTTCTTAAGCCCCTCTTCTGTTATAAAAAAAAATAAACAAAACGTTTCCTCCGTGCTGTAAAAAACTATTTGACCGAATAAGCCAGGTTAAAAAAATATACATATAAGACAGGAAAGGAATTTTACACTACGTTTGACTCAAAGAACCAGATTTGTGGCACAATGTGCCAGATGACCAATAGGCCAGTGTACTTGTTTCAGGAAAAGTAAAATTTCAAGTTTGGTAAAATTTACCAGAAGGCCCAATGAGCCAGAGTACTTGCTCTTTCACTTGTCGCAAACCAAGTCCCTACTATACGAAATGCGCCTCCTTTTATATTGAGTATACCGAAGCTTTTTGGTGTAGCGTACCGGTATTCTTTGCTGTACTTGACTTCGCCGTGAAGTTGAACTTTGTGTTCTACTGTTTTCTCACTTCTTCTGCTTCGCCGTGATTTTTAGTACTTTTACTACGCGCCGTGTTTCTTTCGTGTGTGTTTTGTTTTCCTTTAACTTATATTATATTATTAAAAAAATAAAGTGTATTAATACTGCAAAACAAGGTATTAAATATGCATATATATTTTGTGAATTTAATATTATCTAAATGTGAACAGAAAAGAAATATTAAAAGAAATAAAATTGATGTTGGCGTGCTTAGTTTTGTTTTGTTGTGTTTTGTTTACGCATATAAAAATAAAATTGGACAACCAAAAATGTTAAACTGTTTTGTGTTTTTTTTGTTTACGCAGATAAACTAAAATTGAACAACCACGAGTGTTAAATTGTTTTGTGTTTTGTTTTATTTATATATAATTGTAAAAAATAGACATTTGTTAAAATTTAAACATGTTTCGCCAATAATTGTTCATTGTTGTTGCGTTTATAAGTGTTCCATTCATAAAAGTTTTAACCAAAAATTAATTTCTTTTCGTATATTTTTAGAATTTGCACATTGCATGTAGCGATGCCCGCGGCACATTGGCATCGAGGATCACAGGTAATGTCCATGATATTTCAAACAAATATTTTAATTCAATTTTATATTTTCCAGTTAAGTCGCCTTCAGTTATTTTCAAGTGAGTTGTTAGATATATTATGTGTAGTGGTGGCGGTTATTTAACACACAGACTGTGTTTTTCTCTGCTTCTTGTTTTATGTAGCACAGAAATTTACTTTGTAAATTTGTGTCGTTACATTTCCCTCCTTCTTCAGAACAGAAATTAAACTAAAACTTTATTTTAATGACACGTTGATGACCCCTCGTCGGCAAATTTGCACTTGATACTTCTGATTTTCCATTTATCCCTTATTTTCCATATGATACATGCTAATACTTGTGTTACTAATATTCCTTTTAGAACGAGGCTCGATTTCTCTTTCTAATCTTTGGACACTTGAAAATCTTGAAATACTCATCTTGGTTGCTGACATGATGACGGTCATCCTTTCGTTTAAATGTACCTAGACGTTGTACGAAAATCTCTGGCTTGTTTCCTTTTGTGCTTGGTTGAATGACGTTCAATT